AGCGGCTAACGCAATCGGCAACTCGAAGAGCGATGTTGTCTTGAACTATAATGAACTTATGACGGCTTATAGGCGATTTTAGTGAATAACGTCGATTACTAGAACCCTAATTGTTTTAAGACTTTGTACCCTTAGTTTTGGAATGCATAAAAACCTCCCAAACCTCCAACGGCCATAACTGTTTGTAATTAATCACGAGACCGAAATTGGGTGGTCTGAGGGAACAGGTTCGGAGCTCCGCAATTATACGGATGGGACGTCAGAGGACTCGTGATATGGGGAGGTTGACCATTGGTCAGTTCGCTGTAGGATGCATTTACACTTGAATCTTACTTAAACGTTTGTCTTAATAGCACTACCTTATCATACGGGGATTGAGAAGAATAGATAAGGAAAACGAATGGGGGATTCATAACGTATATAGTAAGTGCCCATGCTAATGGTGATCCACCTAGTAATATCATTGTTAAGACTTGACGAGCACCCTAGTCTCTATAAAAATACGTTTTCGCTTTGAACTTTGCATTTACAGTACATGCCAATAATATTGTGTAACATGTAGAGAGAGGATATTTTTTGTTCCATCAATAAACTGTTATACAAGTTGTTCGTAAAGAATATTCAATAGTCAATGTGGGTTGAATCAAGTATGAGATGAGAGATGAGCTTGACAAACAATTCCTCTGTTGGAATTGATTCGGTTACACACGCATAATGGGACGTATAACATTGAAACTAAAACTGTGGGTTAAACAACTGGACGTGGACACCCGATAGTGTACAGTAGCCGGATGCTGGATACATCACAGTCGCGTACAATGGACCCGCATGCTTAATATCAGAGATTCACTGTAGATCATATCTCACGGACCGCTGCGATAGGTCAAATAGACGTAGTATTAACAACTACAATATTAATTTCGTCATTGTGGATGTTAGCCTCCGGATTGCTAAATAATATTAAAAAGGTTTGAATAGCTGCTATCAAGCAATCCATTTAATCGCAGTCGCAACTAGTTTCGTCTCCTATGTGGAGTCATCTTCGGGCGGAAAAGTGCAGTCTTGACTTAAACTCCGCCGGGTTAGCGTCGTCTGTTGTCATAAATGAACAGTTGCCGAAAATGTGTCGTGTCCATGTATGTATATGTGTCGTGTGTAAATGTGTATTTATGTTTACATGTTAAATATGACACTCTTCATGTGATGAAAGAAGAAGTCTTTGTACAGCCCGAAAATTACTCCACATAGGAGTCGAAACTAGTCGCGACTGCAATTAAATGGATTGCTTGATAGCAGGTATTTAAAACTTTTTAATATTAATTTCGGGCCCTCTTCAAACTCACTAGGTTGGAACCCAAGGATACATATAGGTTTAGAGCTAGGCTTAAAACAAATACAAACTTTATGACATCTTAACTGGTTTTTAACTTCAAGCAGCATATTTAGCAAATAACTTCATCTTTTAAATTTCGTCCAATATCAGGACAAAATAGGAAATCGGAAAAGAATTCAATTGAAAATTGGTTAAGCTAACAGGAATTGAAAAGTGGAAAAAACACAAGTGTCATGCAGTTTTGAATGTCCAGGTTTCACAATTTTATTTGCTCAGAGAGTCATGTAGTATTCTATCAACAACCAATGGCTGTCCACTCTCGTCAAGTGTGTGTTGCTGTGTGTGGAGGATGTTAACACGTCACGTGACCCTGTATGACCAGGCTGGGCTCAGTACGGTACAGACTGGTACAGACCAGCTGCAGGGTGTGTGATATTGGACACCAACTTCCGCCATCAGCTCAATAGCTCCATTCAATAGCTACTCCGGAGTGAATTAGTGGACACCTTTATACATATAGTACACCCTGGTGGATAAAATGTGCATGGGTGGAAGTAAAAAAGGTCGCCTAATTTATGAGGTATCGCAAATTTAAGTGATTTGGATATAAGAGAGGTAAACGTGGTAAACTAAACAGACGATAAAAACTTTCTATGATTGCTGAAACACTAATGTAAGAAAAATACCCCCATCGCAGCAAACCTACAGTCTACGCGAATTTGCATTCATATGGCTGGATTTTCACTATTTCCTTAACATTGTCAGATTTATTTCTTATTTAAATAACGATAGTTTTAATGAGAACTTAGGTTTGCTGCTACATCGAAGGTAAATAAGGTGTGTTTTTTGTTACGATGTTGATACCTTAGAATGAAAAAAAATGCCAAATTTGATTAGAATATATCCATATACAAGCAAACTACGGCGGTTTACTTATCCTCCATAAGAATAACACGGGTATTTTACACTTTAAATTTTTATTGTATTATTTTTTTTTATTTTCTACGTATCCTTAGCCATACAACAGTGCATCAATGTACGAAATTATTAGTTTTTTAAGCTCCTCATTATAGTTTAGAAATAAATTTTAAAATTTTATTTTTGAGAGTCAAAATAGGAAACCCCAATATTCACCCCATAAAACTCCCATACAACTACGTTCCCATAGTCCGTGACCTACGGTAGTAGCTTTCCTTATACGGGAAATTCTCTAAAAGGTTTTCTGTAAATATTATACATCAATGAAACTATGTAGAAAACCGTACAAATTTATTCAAACAATTTAACCAAACTGTGTTTTGAAGTTTTGGGACTCTAAATCGGAAAAGAATAGAGGACCTTCGGATGTAAGTATTACCTGAAAAAAAAAACTATATACGTCTAATAACACTTAATACTTATACTGTTGACTAGGTGGAATTTATATTTATATTTAAGTTCTAAAGACGGTAAATACATATAAAACATGGTAAGTGGTGATAGATTTAGATTGGACACTTCAATCATCACCAGACTCAATAGGCGAATGATGTCATTTTGTCTGAATTATTATTCATTTGTCTGATGATGATTGGAGTGTCCAATCGAAATCGATTACCAATTACCATCTTTTATATGTATTTGCTTGTGAGTCAACAGAATAAGTGTAAATATATTATTAAGTGATATTAGACGTAAATAGTTTTGTTTTTTTCAGGTACGTAATTTAATAACACGTAGGTACCATGCCAATTAAGAAGTTAGCAAGTCTTACCAAAAAGAATACTGATCATAAATTAATAGCCTCTGGAGCAATAAGCATTTTTTTAAATACAAGGATGATGTTTTTTTACCACAATAACATAAACCTCGAGTTCAAGTTACTATAGAGTTTGAGATATACTTCCAACATTGACAATTGATTCCAAAGCCAAAGCCCTATTGGTAGCCATAAGTCGTCATAAGGAATCAGCGATTACAAAGACATGCTCTTCTCTGTGGCTATATTGAGCAATCTAAGTATTTCATCTGTAGGCAAAGCTACACCACTGGTATGTTGGTCGGTGTCCACTAACGGAGTGTGGGAAACTAACAATTTCCCAGATTCCTCTGCAGATACTGTATCCACCGTTGACGCAGACAATGCAGGCGATATGGCGTTGAAGGAGTGGTGGTGGAGAGAGAGCTACATGTAGGTTTATTTGGCGGATGTTCCACACATGGTCATCTGGTGATTTCTCTGAAGACCTGTCACTGCAGCGACGTGCCCGTCATCCCTACGAACTCAACAGGATCTGTCTTTCCCTTCTTCGCGCAGAGAGCTTTGACGAAGAAATCGATCGATTTCTACTTCGACAAAGAGAAAAGTTCCAAACTCGTTGCCCACTCCATTTCCACGTAGCAGCAATTTTGAGGCTGTTAGACTTAGCTAAAACACAAACCGGATCGGTGCGTAATGAAGTGATACGAGTCCTGGCACGATGTGTTATCAGTTCGCATTCACACCTGGACACGTTCCACATTGTTGGCTGCAGGAAGCGGATACAAGCATTAAATGGAGTGTGTGTTGACGCGACTGCTAATAGGACGGTGTTGCACGACGTAATTACAATGCAATCATTGGGGGACATCGTTGCAGCTGTTGGTGTGCCTGTCTACTGTGGAAGGAGCCAAAGGTTCCTACGTTAATTCGCATGGAAGCAACTTATTCACCATTCTGACAAATAACATTTGTAACGAAAACTCGGGATTTAAACAGTTCAACTTCTTTGTGGCACTAATAAACCTATACAAACAAAACACAGTCTAATTCAATCATTTTACTTGTCAACTTTGCAAATTATTGGCGTTGTAAAACCGATCACTGGTTTCATTGACCAACTTTCGTGTGAAAATCGGAAATTTATTTAAAAAAAATTAAAGGTTAGATGACAAATACAAAGCAACAATTGACTAATTAATGTCCCCTAGTACAAATGTGAACCTGCTGCGATTTCAGTGAAGATAAATAATGAACGAGAGTGTCCAGCTGTTAATGGCTTTGTTGGCTGCATAGTTTGTTGGCACGCTTGTCATGTTACCAAACAGAGCTATTCAGATTGGCCACGTTATAAATCACCAATGGCGACTGCGGACTACGGATTGCTTGGCTTGGCCAGGTCCGCGCTGAGCTGTCGCGGTATTTATTAATGACATGTCACACAGAGATCTGCACGCCGCATGAAACTCGCCTGTGAAATATTCCTCGCTTTGAGGTGGTCTCTTAGTTGACAGGTAAACGTTTCTCACATGGCAAAACACAACCAGGCACAACTAAGCAAACTAGCTAATTTACTCGTATTCTCAGTATCATTATGCAAGAGAGGTAAAGAATAAACTTAAAATTTCTATTTGGAAAAGTTTGGATAGTGATCAGAGCATTGTGCAGTAGTCATACTGATGCCTCAAATCACATCCCTAAACCATTTAAATTCGTAATAGGAGTGTCGGAGATGAAGAAGACATAAGTTTTGGAGTGGATGGTTCGAATTTAATAATCAGTTATGTGAAATTACTCACCAAATCAAGACCGTGTAAGAATGTAATTATTTTCTTAATACTGCTAATATTAGTGTAGCTGATAAATATCTTAACACTAGCGATTCTAGCATTCACAAATGAAGCACGACATAATTTATAGTGTTAGTACCTGGCACCGACGATGAGTTGATCTCTGCCCACGTCGAACAACAGCTGTGAGTAGGCAGTGACTCCGGGGTCTGAGAACGTGGAGGCCGTCGTCATCAGATCTGCAACACACAAACACTGATTGACCACAGGAACTACACAGCTGGATGACAACAATAAATGTAATGTGGTGTTGATGGACAACGAGTTGTGATCGCAATGAATGTCTACTTATGAGTTTGTAAACTGTTACGATTTGTATTGCATGTTATGATTCGTCTAACCACAACACGACCATTGTTTATAACGCTCATACAAGTGTTTCATCTAGTCTTAGTGTCTATAAACGATGTTTTACAAACCACAGGGGATTATGTTGTGTCTTGCGATGTAACGTGGGTTAAGCAATGAAGTACATCGACATTCGAGTTGTAAATCAAAGTTGTTGAGTTTTATAGAAATGTATAACGTACTATCGAAGGACGGAGAGCTGATTTGAGAATATAACCTCTGGTTTGAAGTGTATTGGTGGAGAGCCAATACGGTGCTGGACGCTGGTTCCGCAGAGACATATTCACCGGTCATAACAAATAAACCTGGTTTCGCCATCAGAGCAACCTTCCATGTAGGGGACAGGTGGGGGCCGGGCCGAGAGCCTGGCTCTCTCCGCCAGAGTCATTTGAATACAGTACTGGAGTCCCGTGTCGCAAGGTCGATCCTCTCAGGGCTTTTATAGATTTCTTTCCAAGAAGCTTGTTGAATTTGTTTAAGTGTTTATATTGTTATTCCATCCTGACGATTCAATCACTTCTTCTTTGAATCAGTCAACGTGTTTGGATTGGATAACTTGCATGGTCAAATAAAAAGTTCAAGAGCAGATCTAGTTCAATATTTTAAAGAATGTTATTGCAAATTCGCCAACAATGTTTCACAATTAGTCCACTTACAAGCCATCTCTACTACTTATCCCGTCCCAACAAGAACTGCAATCCCTCATGCATCATACTCCAGTAATGATGACCAGCTCATTTTAAGTCCGAAGCGTACAGCAAATTTACGCGGCTTGCAAGCAGAGGAGAGGGCATAAAAACCGCCGATAATCGATTCTAAGTATGGCAGGAGAGAGAAATAGTCGAGCAATTGGTAGTTGGTAGGAACGGACGGACGTTGAGTCTGCGGCCACAAGGCAAAAACCTCGGTCTCTAGTCTGTGGACCAGCATCCTAAGTGGCTCGGACACTCGACCTGTCGGCGCGCGGCAACTTGGCAGTTGGAAGACGGACTCCTCTATACGAAAGTGACAGACGAGTGAATGAAAGTTATAAAATTATACGGTGTAATAGAATACGTCGGATTTTCGTCAAGGCACTTTAAAATACTACTCGAAAGACCAAGGACGTGTTTTGCACTTTGAACGAGCAAATTAACATCATCAATGCCTGGTGAGATATTAAAGCTATACTTTATGCCAATACACAATTAAATGAATGCAGAAAATGTGATGCAACTTTATTTGCTAAGATAATATATCAAAAAATTGACAAGAATTTGAGTCACTAGTAACGAAGAAATCCATTCCCCTGCAGACTTGTTCGAAAATGAAGTAGTTCCAGAGTAAAAGGTGACTGGGCCGTTCCAAAGGTAACAACTACTTTCCAGGAGGAGAACGGCTGAGACAGATAATATGTATATATTGCGAGATATCCGCCAGATTTGGTCACTGATGACTATCCACTAATGATCGCTCCCATGTTATGTCGGTGGACAGCGTCACCGTCACTGCCACCTGTAAGGAAACCCGCTGTTATAATTGACAGAGTGAAAGGCCACTGTTTGTTAGGTGGTTAACGTTTTTACCACCATTGTTTGTTTACTTATCTAACCGTTATCGGCAGATAAGAAATCTAACAAAGTCATGAAAATGAAACGTACATAGGAAGAATATGAGTTGTCAGGAGGTTTACTTTAAGAAGACACAGTTTGCAAAGGTTTCTGAGGTGATTTAGATTTGACAATATATTAACAGTAATCATGTTGCCGACATACCGGACCGGCCAACATTCGAATGTCTAAAAGTCAACCCTGAGGAACGGTATAGACTATAGAGAGGAGTTGAGAGAGCAATACTTGACCGCGCATCGTAACCTTCACTGCCATGCTGATGGTGTTGAATATGTATGCTGTAGAGTCACTGTGCAACCACTTCTTTGGTTTGGAGACTGAGGTTGAGCTCAGAATAGACAACTTGTATGATTACTCTTCACCGTGAAACTCTTCTCCTACAACAATAATCTAATCTAATCACTATTGCACTATTGTTGTAATCAACAATAGTGTCAAACTGTATCAGTGAAAACAAAAATACAATTTAACAGAAATGTAGGAAGCATCGGTTACATTAAGTATTCTAATCTGTTGATACAGTATAAGAATCGCCTCTGAGTGAGGAGAGAGGAGAGAGAAAGGACAATGTCGTAAAGTTGTCACGGAGAGGGCCGAAGTTTACCAGCACAAAGAACTCTATTAAAGACTCTATAATTGTATTCAAATATTAATTGGGCGGGTCTGATTTGCATAGGTCCGCCCGCCGCGAGCCCACACTACCAGACTCTCAAGTCACCAACACCTCTACATCACAACAAACAACATACATTGACAACAAGTTACAAGTAGTATTAACGTTGTAATGCAAATTGTTTAAAATGTTTCCAAACTGGCGTCACGCTCCTCTTTATAACAGAATGGTCGATGTGTTAGTAAAGATTTCATTAATCACGACATAATTCACCTAAAACTGGTTGTTTTATCGTATAACATTGGTTGACAGCTCATGTGATTAATTCCCCAACTTCTTCCCGAATTGATGGCGTAGTTAGTAGTTTGTAAAGCATACCGGCGTCAGGGACTTGGAAACATGACAGTAATTTCTTCGTTTGAATTCTAGAGACGTACCCCGTAACTACGTATTTACTAGTCCCGCAGAGAAATGAAACTGTAGGTTTATTGCTTTGTGAAGTAGTGTGCATTCACTATTCGACCAATATTTGAGACCCGCGTATTAGACGCTGTAGTAATAATAGAGATCGATGATTAGACGTCGACAGCCAATCAAAGCAATTATGTTGAAAGTATGCTGACAAAAACCAAGATGTAATTTAAAATTCTGCTTTGAGGGACAGAAAACAAGAAGACAGATCTTAGAACTACCTTAGAACTAGTAACTCGACATTTTCTATTTCAAAAAAGTGGCATGTAAAAAACCTTTATGTCAGGACACATAATGCAAAAATTTAGCATTATGTATTCCCAAAAAGAGGATCAGAAACCACTTTCCAAATCGACCGTCAAGTTAAATAGGCGATAGAACCATAAATCTCTAAGATTTACGGCGAGAAAACATGGAACAATCGGAATAGTGAAGAGAAAATCGCCGCATGCCTCGGGCACTTGACACCGCGCGGAGAAACACTTCTAAAGCCATATTTTTCTTGAAAGATTATTAAAATTTATGCTAATAACTGCTTCGAGTTTCCTAATATTTGCCGACTAGTGTTGAGCGTTGCCACACCCGTGGGGAAACTTTACTGACGAGTAGCAGAGAAGAGAGCTGTTCAGTGTCCACGTTCTCCTGACGAGTGTACCAGTACCGTACTGTTTATAGTAATGGACTACCGACACATGACTACTCTTCGCAAGGCGAAAAAGCCAAATATGCACTAACCTGTTGCCATTGACAATAAGTCATGTTATATAGTTTAATGACCTCCTCATTATGAGTTATGTTCCTTGGGTAAAAACACTTCATAAACGTAAATTGGTCCACTGCGACGACGGCCGACGGTTGAAGCAGTAACCATACAGGTCAGACCAGACCAGTACAGCCTACTGTAGCTGCAGGTCATCACTGCATGCTGAGATGAGTCTACAGTCCGGGGAAACAGAAGACTAAACACACACAAACTCTTCAATGCATGCTTCGTGCTGCTGGGTATAAGTTTCTCCTTATACGGGCTCTTGAGATATGAACCTGCAATGGTAGTGCAATTGCTGATTGAATAATTAGTAGTTTGTTGCTAGGGAAGCAGCAAAACAAGGTTTATGTGGCCAGGAAATAATAATATACAATGCATGGACAATACCGTTAACAAGTAGGAGAAGTATACCTCCCTTGCCGGCTTCCGTATCACGATATGCATCCTTCACCTCTGGTCTAGTGACCCTACAAGCAGCATAACTAGAGAACTATACACGACGTGTGTAGCATATGCGTGCACACGTAGAAACTTATTGAAATCACGAGTGGTAATAGTACAGAATACTCTGTGGGTCTGGTCCAACTTAATGTCCGCAAGAATGATTATGGGGAAATTTGGTGATAGAATACATTAGTTTCACCCTGAGAAATTGTAAATAATTAAATATACTGATAAAATAGAATAATTCATGACATTTTAAACATGAATACCCCCGCCGCAGCAAACCTGCCGTCTAAGCGAATTTCCATTTGGCTGAATTGATTTTCAATCGATCTATTTAAATAACATTAGGTTTAACGAGTAGGCCTACCTAGGTTTGCTGCTACAAGGAAACTAATAAAGTGTGTGTTTTAAGTAAAATAATTATTGCTTAGTAGAAAATGAATATATTTGCCAAGTTTGATCAAAAGATATCCATAAACAAGCAAACTACAACATTTTACAATATTCTCCATAAAAAAAACATGGGAATTTTAAATTTATAATTTTTTTAGTTTTCTCCGTAACCAATAATTGAACAAAAACACTTTGATATACTGAATTGTTTGTTTTTTTAAGCTCTTTAAGAGGGTTTAGAGAAAAATTGGGAAATTTTGTGTTTTGAGGGTCAAAAGTGAGAAAAACCAATTTTTACCCCATAAAACCCCCCATGAAACCCTGTTCCCATGGTCCGATCATGCTGGATTGCGAACTCATTCAAGTTTATCCCGCCTTACACCTTCAAACCAAATTTCATCAAAATCGGGTAAAAATTACTCAAGTTATCGTGTTCACGGACACATATATATATAAATCTATATATATATATATATATATAAATTTGAACGAATGGTGTTTTTGGCCTCTGGGGACATCAAAATGAAAAAG